TCTCGCTCAGCGGGAACGAGTTAGGACACGATCGGAACTAGGCAACAGAACGCCACAGGCGCCTGTAGCCCGGTACCAGTCGACTGTCCCTCTGCTTAGACGAACGTACTAACCAAGCGGGAGATTGCACCCGTTTCGATTGGTGTGTACGTACATAATGGTGGATGCTGGAGGCGGAGCTGGAACCGGAGGCAACGGAGGAGACAGCCCGAGGTGCTACAATTGCGACGAACCGGGACACCTGTCACGAGGCTGCATCAAGCCGAGGAGATACCAGCCGAGAAGAGAATCGAGCGGACACAGTGCGGCTTCTACTTYACAGAACAACAACGGCGACAGACAACTGGTACCTGCTCAAGGATCGGGTGTTGTGCAGACACACGGSGGCTCTTCATACAACCATGGCTACGGCCACCAAGGCGCCCAGGAGAATCGAGGAGGATACGACAGGCGGCTACAACAACTACAACCACCAAGCCAACCTCACATCCAACAAGGACATAGTCGACGCTGTTCTAATGATGAAGGAGTTCTGCTCAACGTTCATGGAGGAGAAAAGACTCGAGATTGAAAGGCGGAGGGAGGACGAGCAAAGAAGGAAACGTGAAATGGAGGAAGCAAGGGCCAAAGAAGAACGAGACAAAYGCGAAGCGGAGAAATTACAGAAGGCCCAGGAAAGGGAAGCCCGTTTCGCTCTCCTCATTGACARCAAACTGGACAAGAAGGACACTGGATACCAAGTAATCGTTGAACAACTCGYCGAACAGAACAAGATGTTCAGGGAAGCAATCGGCGAATTGAAGACTGGCACCATTGCAAACCCGATCATGGTAGAGGACATCAGGCGAGACATACTTCTACTGCGCRAAGCCGARATAGAAARGAGCCGGAGGAAGAGAGGGAAGGAGGCAACCAACGAAGACAAKGAAGGCCCACCGAAGGAGAAGCAACGCACAGAGGGACCCACCACCACCGARGAGAATATCCACGCCGAATTCGAGAAGATGAAGAAGCAGTACCAAKAACAGATAGAGGCAATGAGGGCAGAAATCGCCAAGCTAAAGGCAGCCCAAGCACCAGCAGCTGCCACCCYGTCAACATCAAGACCAGAACCAAGAACACCAGCCACAGAAGGACGGGCACTAGACCGAATCTTCGCACAGACGGAGYCAGCTCGACGACGAAACTGCAGCAGGGCCAGAACACCCGACCGCATCATACCAGGAAGAAAGGCCGCGGTAGCAGCACCAGGACCGGAAGACCGACTTCAGTACCTGGAAGACACGAGAAGACATCTGAGAAACAAGAACGTGAAGCAATTASAAAAAATATGCAAGGAYRAGAAATTGAAGCCCACAAGCTGGCGCAAASRAGACATGATCGACGCGCTGGCCGAACAACGGGCCATCAATGCATACGACAATCGGGCGTGCRCCGAACCTGTGAGGATCAWTGAACAAGTAAATCCGACGGCAAACGGAAACGAAGAAAACGAATGATGACGAAGGACGGGACCTATCGCACTGTTCCGAAAGGAGAGCAGGGACCCGAAGCGGAAGAACGGGAGCAAGGAAGAGAGAACAKAGATCGAGTACAAGCTAAGAACGAGGATCACCGAGCTGGCAAAATCATCTCACATGTCTTGGCTCCACAAGTTCTCCGACAGCGCGTCYGRATGGCAGACCCACGATCACGGTTGGTTCCGGAACCCTGAATGCTGCGTGTATGCACTTGTATCACCGTACTACCGCGCAGTATATATCGGACAAACAGGGAGAGCGTTGAACAAACGATGGGATGAGCACAGKCGCGCCGCCGAAACAACAGTCGGGAGACAGAAGTACAGGGTACACCGATGGCTTCACAAGAAAGGATGGCGAGACTACGTGGCCATGCCGATAGCCATATGCAACAAGCACGAGTTAGAGAAGGTAGAACAGTTCTATATTCGAAGTTTTTGCCCAGGCCTAAACGCTAGGAAACCAGCACGTAGAGGCAAAAAGAGCAGGCGGGGTAGGAGAGAAACAAGGGCAGTACGCTCCGGTGCGATGGAGAGGCAGGTAGCTGCACCCATGAGCCTGCAGTTCGAAAATAAAATCTTTTTCTTAGTATCTAGGGTATTACAACAGATTCGTGATAGCGGAGGCAAGGGGTCGATCAGTTTTGGGAAAGGGAACCGGTGGTGCGAAAAGTGGTCCATTATAAAGCGGGTTTTTGGTTTCTCYGAGATTCGCGTAGGCGAATGCACGGAATTCRTGAGAGATATCAAGCTCAAAGAAGTACGAGGCCTTACGTGCAATATACTCAGGGTAACATATCGACAGAACAKGGAAGGATTCGAATTGTTGACCRCGTTGTTGCGGATCCCCGTCYATCGAAGAACCCTGTACGACAAGAGTTTCTCGATAGACAGGCTTGTCAGACTATACTATGGCATCATACTATTTCAGGTAAAAAGGGACCGGGCTGTTCTACGCGGAGTTTTGACACTAACGATCAGGTCCAGGTTTAAGATTAATATWAGGAGAAGACWGGTTGTTAGGATCGAATAYGAGGAAGGTGTGAGGATGCACGAGGTCAGTAAGTATTGCAAGGGGAAAATCAGACAAATTTGCGTGAGCCCAACGGTCGCCRAATTTATYTGCAGACGCATGARATTGGTATGGACCGGGCCGAAGTCAATCGGGCAGATACTTCGTAACCATCGTATGATAGCAAGGAAGGCGCAAAACGAGTGTCCTTGCCCGTGTCAACAARCCGTTCTCCCGAAAGACAACAAGGGGCACATTAGTTTCCGATTCTCAGAACTAGACGGAGTTYCACAACTCATGAAGAATTCCAGAAACATACCGGTACCAAGGAAACCGGACGGACRACGGCTGRCAACGCAAYTGAACGATGCTTTTGAAGCTTTCTTTCACATGTCACACCCARGCAAAGGGAAGGAGATGACCSAGTGTTGGAAGGAGAACAAGATAACACGAGGGATACAAATGTCACGCCCCTGCAAAGGGAAGGAGATGACCGAGTGTTGGAATGAGAATGAGATGACACAAGGAATTCAAGTTCGCGAGGTAGCTGATATGAAGAAGAGACTACGGGGAATGGTGATCATGCCAGTAGATGATAACCATGGCAACACAATGGTCTGCTGCCCAAGAACCTACGGGACCACCATCGAGACTATGTTCGTACAGAATGGAGGTTTCAAGAACATTAACGAGGAAGGATACTACAAGGAAGGGTACCACACCAAATGCAAGGAAGGATACTACAAGGAAGGGTACCATCGCATCGCCAAATGGAACAATCATGGAGAACTAGGAAAAGCGTACGTCATTCCAAAGCACAACGACACGACCAGATGGAGACCAATCTGCCCGTCCTACAGCGAAGCAAGCGGGAGAATGAGCAAGCTCACAGGCAAGGCAATCAACCACCTATTGTGGTCTCTACCCAAGCACTCGAACTTCAACTTGAAGAGTACGCGACARCTACTGGAAGCAGTGGAGGGCACGAACAAGTCAGTACARAAAGGTGAGAAGTGGGGAATGTTAGCAGCAAGCTTCGATATCAAGGACATGTTTGTGAAACTCCCCCACGGGGCAATTATGTCGGCAATACACTGGGTCGTAGATTTTTACGAGAACGAGGGAGTGAGTAGGGTCAGAGTCAAGCTCAAAGGGAAAGGTGCAACTTTTGGAAAGGCGGACGGAGAAGTAGGATGGCAATCCGTGTCCCTAAGAAACATTGCAAAACGATTGCAACAAGTTGTAGGTATTYCGATGGGAAAGAGTAGCAGCCCTRCAATCGCTTGTCTMTTGTGCGCATTTTATGAATGCGKTTTTTTGTCTTCGCTCGGGAAAGATCGTAGATTGGTACAGGGATGYAGACTGGTCGACGACGTTTCTGTTTTCGTAAGCTTCAGGATCAACCACGAAATGAGCCTAACGAGAGCCACTGAGATCATGCACCAGTTCCAGCAATGTTACCACGAGGATCTCACTCTGGTCCRGACGRACGAAGCGGCAGCCGCATGGGTATTTCTGGGATGTACCATGGAGGTGAGGATGTACCCATCGGAGRTGAGCTGCACGGCCAGAACGGCAAATGGACCAAGTCTTCTCAGYGGTGGCCCACTAGTGTTCCAGGGATTGCAAGATTACAGATCATACACCGCCAGAAGTACCAAGAGGGCGGTCATCACAGGGTGTTTAAGCAGGATATGGGACCACACCCTWGACAAGTCCACGGCGGGACCCACCCTCCTCGCAACGAAAATAGAGTTATGGAAAAGAGGTTTTCCCGCTCGCGCCTTCGACGACGAGCTCAAGAAATTTTCGAAAYGAAAGGATGATGTGTGGCAAAGATGGACCGAGGTCTTGTGCGACTGGGACGATTACGAGTAGAGAGAGAGTTCTTTTGAATTCGAATTTGAAGGACAGATGGCCATTTTTCGAACTGGGTGGTACGAAGCAACGATTGGCGCTCAAGGCACCTGGACCCGCGTGGAAACGCGCCCACGCGCACCGCAGGAACGGAGTTCAGATTTATTTTATCGTTATTATTTTTATTGTTATTTTATTATCTTTCGATGACTTAACAATTTTTTTTCGGAATTTAGGCGGGAACTGCGAACAAGGACTTAAGGACTACACACGACTTTTTTCGGGGCTCAGGTGGTAACTACGGCTCGGACACACGAGCGAAGAAGTATTTATAGGACCGACACAGCACAGTTCGGCACATCACCTTTCGCACTTTGCCCCTGACGACGCTGGTCTGTCGCCAGCAGAAACTAGTCGGGCACTTCGCTAGGATGGGGGTAGTAGGACGCTGCGACCTCCATCACTAGTCTAGGTCTTCACGACGCATCCCGGAGGTGATTTCTATCAGACTATGTTGTGAGCTTCATGACGCACACCTGCGTGCGCTCTTTCATTCATTCAATAACAAAAGGCTTTTTGATGGAATCGAGCTGTTGGTGAGATGCCACGGGGCTAACCGGGCACAACGGCGTGTATTGTTGTACTCTCTATTCTCTCTCTCTCTCTCTCTTCCCAATCTTTCCCAACAAGCCGACCATCTCGCTCAGCGGGAACGAGTTAGGACACGATCGGAACTAGGCAACAGAACGCCACAGGCGCCTGTAGCCCGGTACCAGTCGACTGTCCCTCTGCGGGCCACCACTGCCACGCTTCTGACCCTCCAGTCTCAAAGCAGCTGCCACGCGTCTTCACGTTTTCATCGGCTGATATCGTGCTGTCATGGTTCAATCCCACAGTGTTTGAGGGGCTCACCACACAACCTTTCGAAGGCAAACATTTTCCGAAATATGTCAGGAACTCTTGGAAAGGTGGGGGTTTGAAATAAAGCCCGCCTTCGCCACACAGACAAACTTTTAGAAGCCCACAAGGGCCACAACCTTTTGCCGCACGAACTTTCCGAAAATTGGCTGTCGTCAAGGTAGAGACCCTAGAAGATGGACCTCAAGACGCCCTTTTTCCGCAAGACCTCCAGGGGACTTTTGAAAAAGGGAGTGTGCCAAGCAGGAGGATCGTGCCATCTCGAAACTCTTTTCGAGGCTGAGTGGCCAGAAACCTTTTGAATGGTTTTCCGGAGCCCATGTTTTGAAAGGCTGTGTGGTGAAAATGAATTATTGATCAGCAATAGAATTGTCATCAAAACACTCAGTAAACCCAACCATCCCACATTACGCACTAATGGTGGATAATCATATCTTTTTGAAGTGCTCAAAATCACTCCATAGATAAGTAATAAGATAGTGGCATTTGTAAGAAAGATTTCTGGAAAGATGGCTAAAAAATCATTGTCAAACATGACTATCTTCTCTTTTTTGGTTGGCGGCCGGGAACTCGTTTTTTTTTCCTGAAGTAAGCTATATTTTTCTCTCATCTATCTCATCTTCTTGCCAGTACTCATCTATCTCATTTCTCGCTAGTCTATGTATAGTACGGGGAAACACCAACCAACCCGGATCTCTCCCTAGCCCATGGGGCAGGTTGGCACCACAGCAGTGGTGCAAGAGCAATAGCCAGTCACTGCACCTCCCCCTACCCACCGCCAACCCCACAGGCCGTTGGCTCCCAAAGCCAGCATTGGCAGGACCTTTGTTGATGTTGTTGGTTGCTATGCAGAGAAAATKAACTTTCGAAGTTTYGATTTTKCCGGTTTCGAAAGGTTGTGTGGTGAAAATGAACTTTCAATTTTGCCGGTTTCTGTGTGGCAGGACTTGGCGTAAAAACACAGCAGACAAACAAACTAAGGGCATACTCACACTAGCATTTTCATAAAATAGTAAATTGTAGATGATTTTTTTGGTSGCAAGGGCTACGTATTTTGAATTTTCATGCAAATGGGCAMTTAAATGTCAGCGGCTTCGGGGTTACGTATTTTGTGGGGACCTCCGCCCTGGCGTAAAAACACAGCAAACAAACAAACAAAGGGCACTCATTTTCATAAAATTGTAAATTGTTGGTGATATATATTTCTTCGCTTAAACCTAGGCTCAATACTCTGCTTCCAAATGCCCACTCTCAGCAAGATCCTCCATCTGTTAGGTCCCTAAACCAACTAGTTTGTTCCAGGCAACTAGCTCACAAGTTACAACAAGATTGAAAAAACAGATAGAAGCCAAAGTGGATGAAGAACTATCGTTCTCATCGTTGCTGATGAGAAAAAAGTATCACCCTCTCTTCTATACCATCCGCCCTTTCAAGGTGAGCAAAGGACAATGCTCAATGATCCCCAATGAGCTCAATCACACTGKGGAATTCACCTACCTTCCTTCAGAAGAATCTTCCATTCAGATWCAGACTGGTCCATCGCAATATTCTTCCCAWTCTGATTGCTCTGTCTGATCAAAGACTTGTTGGGAGTTAGCCCTGCCATTCCTCCCAGCTCTCTCTCTCTCTCTCTCTCTCTCTCTCTCTCTCTCTCTCTCTCTCTCTCTCTCTCTTCTTCCAGATCGACTTTCCTACTATTCTATAGTATTCTTGCCTAGACAACCCTATTTTCTATTTATTCTGCTCGTATCAAATCTACCGCCCGCTCTGATCTAAGCTATTCTAAAACGTTTCTCATAACTTTTTTTCTCTCTCTCTCTCTCTCTCTCTCTCTCTCTCTCTCTCTCTCTCACACACACACACACACACACACACACACACACACATACGCGCGCGCGTGTCTTTTACACAAGGTGACAAGGACCTAGCTGCCACAAAGTTGAGTATTGCTCCTTCGAAGCTCCTCCATTCACGATCTTGTATGCTATCCTTGTTCTCCTCTCTTTGTGTTTCAAAGTTTTCCATGGGAAGGACGCGTTCAGCGTTCTTCGGTTCAGAAGTGTTCGGCGTGTTCATGATGTCACCGTCTTCAATGCTGCCACCTGTCTGTCGTTCTGCTCCACAGCTCCTRTKTGAAAACCYCATGTTGCCTGCCTCTCCTCCTCAGAGGGCCTGCCCACTCCCTCCTCTCAGCCCTGGACAAGCTAGTGTCTYTGTTGCTCGAGCTATCCTGTGTAGCTGGACCGTTGCAAGATCCCCCTTCCCTGTGCTGTGTACTCCRCGGCATGGGGTTAAGCTCTGCCSGRCTATRCATGTGGCACCGCAGCGTGGCTATGGCTAGACCTAAAGACTGTCGCTCGCGTCACGGGAGCAGAGCGCAACGGCGCTAGCTTCCCGCATAGTCCCCCCCCAGTCCGGTATTAATCCTCCTATTGTAGGTGATTTTYTTGGTCACAAGGGCTAYGTATTTTGCATTTTCACTCAAATGGGCACGCAAATGTCAGCGGTTTGGACAGTTGCGGGGTTACCTATTTTGCGGGGACCTCCACGTATTTTGTCGGAACCTCTAGAGGTCCCCGCAATTGTGTGTTTCTTTTAGACCTGTTTCTTTCTGGAAACAAAAGACAAAGAATTCGRCATTTGGCGGGCAGCTCTCGTAARCCACTAGTACCTTTGTCGGTTCGAAAATACTCGGCCTCCGACCTTTCAGGAGGCCGAAGGTCTTGATTTTTTTSCTATGATTTTTTTAGTTGTTTATGTAGGAGTTATTGCTGTTYTATTTTTATTTGTGGTTATGATGCTAAATATAAAKATAGCAGAAATTCACAAAAAATGTATTATAGAAGGCGTAGATTTTAGAAGCCCATTGGCTGCCAGCAATTGCAAATAATATTACAATTTCATTAAAAACGGCCCGTGACCTTGRAGACGGGAAGATTTGTCAGAAGGACGCCGTCACTTACTCGGGGTCTGCAGACAGACCAGGCGATGTGACAGGAATCATTCTTGAATCTAGCTCCAAGTGGGGACCAGGTTCAGGGTGTGGGTCTAGTAGATGCTTCGGTAACAATAAGGACGCCCCTTGGAAATTCCAGGCTCAACAGTCTTTTCAAGGCCTGGGGAGGCCTCATCTTCAGCAGCAGTTCGTGAGGTTGGTACCCCGTATAGGGGTGGATGATATTCAGGTAGCAACAAGGATGRCCCTTGACAACTCCCAAGCCTAGCAGTCTTGTCTGGACCTAAGGAGGCCTCGCCTTCGGAATTTATCGTTGGAACCTCGTATAGGGGTGRCCGAAATATGGCCAAACTGAAGGAGCAGRGMTTTTCGTGGGCTATTGCGCCTGCAGGATCGGAACCAGGCAGCCGGGGACATTCTGCTATTTCTATTCCTGGCCGATCCGGATCCGGACCTCTGTCTCATCTCCGCCTTTTGTGCGGCTTTGCGGCGGCGCTCCGATCTCCGTACCTGCAACGCATCACCGAATGGCTGAGATCTTCTTTCACGGTTCGCGACTCACCGCGCRAAAATCCTGGCCCGCCCGCCCGTGCCCTCGGTGCATGGGGGGTACCCCAGGACTTCTCCACTTTCTGTGAAGATCTCCTTTCGGTTTTGCAATGTGATTGGTCAAGGTACTTTSATGAACCTCAAGGTTTCCCTGTCAGTTTGTTAAAGACYTTCATTGCTTCTTGTTTGTCGAAAATTATGTTCCCCTGGCAGTGAATGATGTACTATCCCTCTKAACTTCTACCCCTCCTGGCTTTTACCCCTTCCTCTGACTCAAAACAGGCCTTAGGAACACACACATTATTTGYCTGTAGGTGGTATTATTGGACTGCCAAATAACTCATGGAGTTTCATATAATGCAACTTTTCACGTAATTGTTTTGTTTCTGTCTGTTCGCAGCCCGTCAGGGGTGCGTTTTATGCCCCTGAGAACATTTTTCGTCGTCGTTCGCTATACGGTCGTTGGAAGGCTGGAAAAACAAGGCATGGCAGTTTAGGGGGTGGTGGCATCTTATTTGAAACTGCAGGACCGGTAGCTGCTCGTGGGACCGCACAGGTTTTGGTCCTAGGACCGTCCCGCGGGTTTTGGTCCAGGACCGGTAGCTGCACGTAGGAGGCCGAGGAGGCCACAGTCCTTTTTCGAAATTGAAAAGGTGCGGGTCCACTTTTCTCGAATAGCAGAGTTCATCGAATAGAAAAAGTACAGGTTGTATTGGAATACAGCGTGTACCCTTTCTATTCGGATTTCGAAAAGAAAAAACTCTTGTATTCTGATAAAATTACTTCTTTTTGTTGGAGGTCAGTGCCTGCCCTTGTGCTCCCC